TCCATCGGATACTTTTGTCACAAGTGATGGTATCTATGTGCTTGATACTAAAAATTACCGTGTTCAAAAATGGCTGAAAAATGGGATCAATGCAACTATTGTGGCAGGGATCACTGGTACACCCGGTGGTACATCCAGTAACACAACGTTTTCTACAAGCTATGGATTGTTTATCGATCAGTTCGGTTCTATCTATGTAAGTGATCAAGGAAATTGTCGAATACTACGCTTTCCACCAAATTCAGTAAGCGGTACCATTGGTGACTGGATAGCAGGAACGGGCGTATCGGGATATGGATGGCAAGGTTTCGCTAGTCCAACTGGAATCTTTGTTGATAGCAATCAAGCAGTGTACGTAGCAGACACAAGTAATCATCGAATTCAAAAATATAATTTTGGAGCTTGCTATGGAATGACTGTGGCTGGTACCGGGTATGCGGGGAATTCTCTGAATCAACTTCAAAATCCGACTTCAGTTGTTGTGGACAGTGATGGATGCTTGTATATTAGTGATCAAAATAATCATAGAATTCTTCGTTGGGCACCTGAAGCTTGTGCTGGTGAATGTATTGCTGGTTGCTCTATGACTCCAGGAACGCGACCGGATCAATTGAATCATCCATCCGATATAGCATTTGATAGCCAGGGTTCACTTTATGTTAGTGATACATGGAATAATCGAGTGCAAAAATTTGCAATACTCAATGGTACCGGTGCGTACAAAATATTAGAGAGTTCAACATAAGGCGACAGGAAAGTTACTTTTTAGGAGCAACGACAGCTGTAACTGGAATGGGTACAACTACGGCCAATGCGATTCGCTCAACAATCTACCAAGCACCAGGTATTTTTTTCTGCCAACCGGGAGTATAGAATCAGTAATACCAATGCATAGTCTTTACGTGTTTCCTTTTTTTTGCACTTAGAGAGCGGATTGAGGGAGCATATGATGCTTTCAATAGGACGACGTTAGCAATAAAATAAACTGTCTCGAACTTTTCACAGAGTGATAACATTACAATTTTGCCAGAACATGAATTCTGTTTAGGCTTTGTAGTTCAGTATGACAAATAACTCCAGTCTCCATAATTTGTTTTGAATTCTGAATTAAAATGGTTTACCAATATTTTCGCACTCGACACCTTTGCGGAGACAAACTTCAGTGCAGGAGTATTTTCGCGCCTCATAGAACCGTGTCCGCACTCAGATGGAGTGTGACTCTGCGCTATGACTGAGAATGCGGATGTTTCTTGCTGGTCACATCTACATCCTTGTTTGCTGTCTCATCAACTCTGGTGTGCCAAGAATTAATTCATGCAAGATCGTAACAAATCAGTCTAATGTTTTCCAAACCAATCTCACCTCCAAATCTGAAAAGTGTTAGTTTACTAGTAACATCTGATTGTAAATGTGAAAAATCTACTAAAATCAGTTTACACTTAGTATGTAGAATAGATTCAATTAAGCAATTCGGTGGCATATACGAAGTCCACTTTTCATCTGAGTATCGTATGCAAATTGTTCATTGAACTTGATATAAGAGTCACTTTGTTGGGTCGTATTTTTAGAGTCTATGGTCATTTTGATTTCAAATTGAATTGTAGAGGAAAAAAAGCCAACCATTTCAGAACCGTAAGGGGAGGGGGAGGGGGATACCGGAAGAACACATTTATTACTGCAGCCATCAAAAACACGATTTTCCACGACCGATTGGATAGCACCAGATTGATGAATTAAACTTGAAACTACCTCCCATTCTCCACGACTTTTAGTGCAGCTACGCAATCGCAAACCATTCACGAAAAGAGTGAACAGCAACCGACCTAACCAATAAAAATGAATCCTAGAATGAACACTACCCCATTATTCCATAGCTCCATAGCTATCAATGTACTCCAGTTCCTATCAGACCATGTGGTTCTTCGGGAAACCTGAATTCTATATTCATATGTCCCCATTTATACCCTTTTTTCAGACCAGGGGACTAGGCGGACTTGGTGGACATATGAGTATGAATTTGCAAGTCCCCAAGTCTCCCTAGACCTCCCGGTCGGAAAAAAGGGATATATTGGGGGATATATGAATATAGAATTCAGAATTTAGAAGTTCTCCAAGTCTCTCTTTTCTGTTACAAATCGAATGTGTTTGTTTTTAAATTCAGCTTGAAATCAAATAGTCTATTGTATGTATTTTTATCACTCGGAACTCTATTGTATATAATTGTGCATTTTGTTTTTGTTATTTTTCTTCGTAAAGACATAGGCTGAATGATGTTCGAAACGAAAAATCAATTAGTTCTCAATAGAATTAGAAGAACCACAAGAGAACCGTTGAATTGAAATTGATGAGTTCAGCTCAGAAAAAATCTTTGGAAGGAGCTGCATAATGTTTAATGACATACTTGTTCACATATACATACATTTAGTTATTTTATTAATCATTTTCATTTGTAGAAACGGTACTCTGGCCTACTGCTCAATGGGCATTCAATGCAACTACCGTAGCAGGATCATCAACCAGCGCATCGGGATCCACGTCGTCATTATTATATTTCAATAGTGGTATACGTATTTCGGATAGTGATACTCTCTATATTGTTGATAAATAC